GTGGGTACTCAAATGAAAGCTCTTGATGAGTGTAACATCAAAATGAGCTTATATTTTTAAAAATGTCAATAATTAAGAAATGACCTGGTATCTTGTTAAGTATTGACATTTTTAAAGATATAAGCTCACCCCAACCTTATACTCATCAAGACCTTTTATTTGAGTACCTACATCAATTTTTCATATATTTTATATATTTATATATATTAATATATCAAAAATTCAAGTGGGTACTCAAATGAAAGCTCTTGTTGAGTGTAACATTGGGATGAGCTTATATCTTTAAAAACGCCAATATTTAAGAAAGTACAGATCAATTCAATAAAATTCATTATGTAATAATAAAGCAAAATTTCGTTTATTTATAATTTACATAGTGAATGCAAGGCTGCTAGTAATTTCTAATTTTTCCAACAAATTTGAACTATTTATTCATTTTTAAATAAAAATTGCATTAAAAAAAATTGTTTTTTGAATAAAAATTAGTAGACCCAAAATTTTACATCAAAAAGATGTCTTAAATTTTCTTGCTATCACCAAAATTAACAGACTGATAAGAGTTAGCGCAGTCGGAAAGTAAAGAAATAAACTCCGTAGATATGGCTACTCACTTATTAATCCTGGCGCCATCTTTGGAAACTTATCCGCACTCTGTACCCAAATCTTCAATTCGTTATCATCAATCTAAACAGAAACAAAACACTGTCTATTTATACGTAACATTTGACATTCGTTTAACATTGTCTGACAATAATAAATATTTATAAAAACAATAAGACAAGTTAGATTAATGTGTAGATTATTAATTAGATCATAAAGTTACAAGTGTCGCGATGAGTGTGTAAATAAGATTCCAAGGTAACCTATTTAATAGAACAAATCTGTAAACTTCCATTACAGTTTAGTGAAGTATTTTGTCTATTTTAGTGATCAAAAAAATGCGTAGCAGAAGCGACTCAGGAGTCAGGCTGGATTACTACCAGCGGGTGATCCACAATGTGATAATGAACCACCAGAACCCGGTGACGGGTCTGTTTCCTTTGAGCGAAGACCTGGACCATGCTTGGATCCGGGACAACGTGTACTGCATCCTGGCAGTGTGGGGGCTGTCGATGGCCTACAAGAAGATAGCAGATGTCGATGAAGACCGGGCGAAGACCTACGAGCTGGAGCAAAGCTGCGTGAAGCTGATGCGAGGGCTTCTGATGGCGATGATGCACCAGAAGGACAAGGTGGAGAAGTTCAAGATCACCCAGAGTCCTTTGGACGCGATCCATGCCAAGTATTCCTCGACAACTGGTCAAGCTGTGGTGAGAGACAACGAGTGGGGACATCTGCAGATTGATGCTGTGTCCTTGTACCTGCTGATCTTGGCCCAGATGACAGCCTCAGGGTTGCAAATCATCTTCAACTTGGATGAGGTAAGGATTCTTTTGATAGGTTGTCTGTTGTCTAACCAAATTTGCCCTAGGTCGCCTTCATCCAGAACCTGGTCTTCTACATAGAGTCCGCGTACTGCATTCCAGACTACGGAATTTGGGAGCGCGGCGACAAGACCAACCACGGACTGCCTGAGCTAAACGCCAGCAGCATTGGAATGGCCAAAGCAGCCATGGAAGCAATGAACGAATTGGACCTGTTTGGCGCCAGAGGCGGACCCACTTCAGTGATCCACGTTCTAGCGGACGAAGCCCAGAAGTGCCAGGCTGTTTTACAATCGATGCTTCCCAGAGAATCCAATTCTAAAGAATTGGACAGTGGATTGCTTTGCATCATAAGCTACCCTGCGTTCGCCGTTGATGAGCCAAATCTGATCCAACTGACCCGGGACACGATCACCAAGAAGCTCCAGGGGAAATACGGCTGCAAGAGGTTCCTCCGTGATGGCTATCGCACGCCAAAGGAAGATCCCAATAGGCTGTACTACGAACCCTGGGAATTAAGGATGTTTGAGAATATCGAGTGCGAGTGGCCTTTGTTCTACTGCTACCTCATCTTGGATTACTGCTTCCAAGGAAACACTGGAGTGGTGACGGATTACATGAATTCGCTGGAGAAGATTCTGGTCCAGACAGAAGATGGAATTAAATTGGTGCCAGAATTGTACGCAGTGGCGCCTGAGAATGTGGAAGCTGAATATGCTGAACCTGGAAGCCAGCCGAGGCTACCTTTAGGACGCTGTCCCTTCAAGTGGGCCCAGTCGTTGTACATTCTGGGGAAGCTTCTGCAGGAAGGATTTCTTGCTGTTGGAGAACTGGATCCACTTAACAGAAGACTCTGCAGCGAAAAGAAGCCAGATGTGGTTGTCCAGGTGGTGATTCTTGCTGAAGATGATGATGTTAGGGAGAAGATTGCCCAGCATGATATCCATGTGCAAACTATTGCTGAAGTGGCGCCAATTGAGGTCCAGCCTGCTAAAGTTCTCAGCCATTTGTACACTTATCTAGGTAAGTGGTCAGATTCCTAAAAGAGGTCTTGGTTGGTTCTTATGGAAGATTGTCCTAGGCCGTAATAAGAAGTTGGGTCTTTCTGGAAGGAAGTCCAGGGACGTTGGTATCCTCAGCACCAGCAAACTCTACTCACTCCAGGACAAGATCTTCGCGTTTACACCTCAGGTAGGTCCAAATTAGGTTGTAAGAAGTATTTTTAGAGCAATTGGAGGGGAAAATTCGGTTGATGGATCTTTAAACTTACTTAATTGCTGAACAGTTAACCGATATGACACGTTTCTACATCGCATCAGACTACGAATTAATGATCGATATATTCAAAGGTGAAATAAACTTCTTGAAGTCTAGCTGGCAAAATATGTTAGGTCGACCACTTGTTGTAATGCCACTCAAGAATATCCATTTAGGTAAAGTAGGTCCTAATCTACTACCCCTTGTCACTAATGTATTATGTTTAACCAATTAGGTGTTTCATTGATCATCAGCATGATTGCTTCCGATTAGTTCAAATCTAAATAAATTAATAATAGTTATCTCTTAATTGTTAGTGGATTAGTTTTAACAATCGAGTATATTTTTTTGCATGAATCAGAATTTCGATGCGGAAGAATTTTACGTTACGAACGACGCCGATTTTTTAGCGAATATTTTTACAACAAACTTGGCATTTCTCGGTATCAACTGGAGACAAATGCTTGGCAGACCGACAATAACCATTGTAGCTACTCATAATCACTTAGGTAATTCCGCAACTAATACACTTCCTAATGAGCATTTTTTAATAAGAATTGCTGTAAAATTCATAAATCAAGCTTGGCTAGCAAAAATTAAGAGATTTTGGTTCTAGATCATGGCAAAATTCCGCTAGCGATGATCACCACGATGAAGAAGTTGAAGAGTGGTTACATCAACGGTACCAGAGTGTCATTGGGGAATCTCAATGACTTTCTGACCACTTCTTGCATTACCAATCTAAGTTTCTTAGGCAGCGCTGAAGAAGGAAGACCAGACATACTAAATCCGCAGGTTCTTACCCAATTTCTAAATCAAAACCCTGGACAACTTCTTCAACCCCTTTCCTGTTCCAGGTTCAAAAGTACCTGGACGAGCACCTGATGCGCGCCTTTCCTCACCGTTCGGGGCTTCTAGACCGTCCCGCCGTGCGCAGTGGCAAAAACCTGCGCCGGAAAATGTCCTTCAAGGGAGCAATTAAGAAAACCCGATCAATTGCTGTCGAACGTAAGCTCTAATGATCAAATTAGTTCCCTATTCTAACCAAAATCTAATTTGCATGGCATGCTTACTTACCAGCCGGTTTTCTGCTCGTTTCGTTGGAACGTAAGTCACCCTTAGCACCCTAGTGCACCTTAGAGACGTAGATTAGAAAGAAACTGATCTTTTGTAGCTGAAATTCTTGGAATGGCAGGCGAAGATCGTCGGCCTTCTACTGTCATGCCAATTAATCCCTTTATTGAAGTCACGGATACTGCTTCGACGTCTCTGCAAGCTGATGCAGAATCTAAGCCAGAGAAGAGGACACCTTCACCAGAAATACCAGCTACTGATGATGTGCTTCCGAGGAAGCACAGAATTCGCACTCTAACAGAGACTCAGTATGCTGATACCGAAGTCGAGGAACTTATGGCGATGCTGCGCGAAACTGAGAGCTTGGAAGAGCAAGGAGACATTTTGCAGTATTTGGTAAGTTTGTTATTGGTCATTTCAAAGTAAAACGTGATTGAGCAAGATTTTGGTGCCGGCGTTTTGAGCAAAACCCCTAGTTGCTGTTTTGTTCCTATCTTGAAGCTTTGTAGTCTATTTTAAAACACTTTGATTTACAGTGATATATTTAGCATACTTATGGTGTCAGTCTTTCTCAAGAATTGATAAAGTTAGTTTATCAATAAGTATGTTCAGATTTTCTCAATTTTCTTAGACAATTCTTGAACTATAAATTATGACCCAAAATTTTCGTATAAGGCTTGTTCAAGATTTGCTAATTGAATTAGCTACAAGTATCTGGAGCAAGGTCCATAAGTAGAAAAAAACACTAATAACTATTGAAATTGAGACCAAATTTGCTAAAGCCTTGAAAAAGATTGCTGTATGGGTTGTTATCATGCATCTGCAGATATGTGATTAAGAATCTTCCCTGATAGCCAAATTGGTCGCAACTTTATAGAATCTACTGCCGCAACTTGTTCACCAAATTTTCAGCAAAAACTGCTTCTGAAACTTTTTCACATCAAATTGGCAACAAGTTTCTTAAGAAATTTTGCAATATAGTGCGGCAACAGATTTTGGTCAGAAATTTGTAGCCAATAATTACAAATTCGTAACTTTACCGCAAGTTCTGACACCAATATTGTTGGTCTAAAACTCTGGCTATCAGGATTTAGCTACATTTCCACAATTATTAGGTTGATACCCAAGGACTGCAGTTCAATACAGGAATGATCGAAAACGGGCATCCTGTTTTGGTAAAAGATCTCTTGAAAGGTGTCTATGAAAAGGCTTGTCAGCAAAAAATGTGGGGAATTGTCCGACATACAGCAGGAATGTTAGGAAAGAGGGTGGAAGATCTAGCCAAAGCTGTTACTGATCTTCTGGTGCGACAGAAGCAAGTTACAGTTGGTAAGTAATCTTAAACTGCTTTAACTGCTGAAATAATGGATGTTTATAGGATAAAAAACTTTTTACCTTTTTATTCCAGGAATGCCACCGACAAATGAGCACACAATTGTAGCGCCTCTTCCAGAAAACGAGCTGCGTTCACTAATCCACCAGGCGTACGGCGACGACGAGTCAACAGCAATGTTGACCCAGGAACTTCTGGTCTACTTGGCGATGTTCATCCGAACGGAACCTCAGTTGTTCCACGAAATGCTGCGGCTTCGCGTGGGTCTGATCATCCAGGTTATGGCGACTGAGTTGTCACGAACTCTAATTTGCAACGGCGAAGAAGCTTCTGAGCACCTGCTCAATCTCTCGCCGTTTGAGATGAAGAACTTGCTCCACCATATTATGAGCGGGAAGGAATTCGCGATTAGCAGCGTCGGTCGGGGAAATTTCTCGATAATTTCCTACAAGTCGAACCGGGTGAGCAAGAAGTCACAAATCGGAGGGTTCTTGAATGATCAGACGGACGTCAATGAGGCAGAACCTGATCGTCAGGGTCAGTGGTTGAGAAGAAGGCGCCTAGATGGCGCCTTGAATCGCGTGCCCAGGGACTTTTATCCAAGAGTTTGGCAAGTGCTAGAGCGCTGCCAGGGGCTGGCTATCGAGGGAAAAGTCCTGCCTCAGCACCTCACCCAGGAGATGACTTCTGGGGAGCTGAAATTTGCTCTAGCGGTTGAGACTGTTCTTAATACCATTCCGCAGCCGGAGTACAGGCAATTGGTAGTAGAGGCGCTGATGGTTCTTACCCTGGTTACGGAGTATAATGTGGTGGCTTCTTTGGGGGGCATGATTGTTGTTGAGCAGTTAGTGCATCAAGCTAACGCCATCTTCCTTGAAGATCAGGTAAATATTTTTAGATACTTAATTAAGAAATGACCTTGTATCTTGTGAACTATTGGCATTTTTTAATAAATAAATAAGTCTTTATTTAATAAATCAAAATTTCTTTTTTTAAAGATGAAAGTCGATGGAGACGCAACTTTATGCTGTGCAAAGCCCAAAAACCAGCGAGAAACAACGCCAATGGGAACTTTACTATGCGGCGGCGCTGCGTACATCTGCCAGCACTTCTACGACAGCGCTCCAAGCGGCAGTTTTGGAACTATGACCTATATAACGCGTGCCATAGCTTCTTTTTTGAACTTTCTGCCCAAGGAGGGTGACCTTGAGTGCAGTATATCTTGATACTCATCAAAAATTGTTATTGTAATTGTTATTAGTTGAATATATATATATTTAAAAAAACAAAAAACAAGTATCTTGAAAAATTATCTAATTAAATAATTATATCATAGAATAAAACTTGATAAATTCAGTACTTTATTGAAAATTTTAATAATTACACACTACATATTCAAGCTTTTGGACTTTTAGAAAAAGGGTTGACTTTGTCAAGCCAGGAAGTGCTTTCAGGTTTTTCAACTTCTACATCTACGGCCTCGGCAATTTTCGCTTCTTTTAATTTTGCAATTAACTCAGACCGGTACTTTATTTTTAAGGGAGTGATTACTTCTTTACTGCGTTCGATTTCCAAAAATTTTTTTACTGCTTCTGCGTAGGTTAGTCCGTACCATTCAATTTCTTCTCGTGTGTACTAAAATAATAATAATAATAATAATAATTTTAAATAAATATTGTAAATTGTATTTTTAAACAATCAAAAAATTAAATTAAACTTACAGCAGTCAAGTATTCTTTGTACTGATTATAAACTTCTTCACGTTTCTCAGGATCATCTGGATACAAAGTTTTGTCAGCTAAGGCTGTTAGAATGAGACGCTTGAGTTTCAGCGCTAATAAAGACCTCAGATCACATGCTGGTGTCTTAAATTAAAGAAATAATTAATTAAGTACATAATGAAAATTTTATGGTATGAATTAAGAGAAAAATTTGGATGATTATATTAATTACTAATTAATGATTATAAATTATAGTGAAGTACCTTCAATAAATAATGATCAAAACCATAATGCTCGTTAATTAAATCAATAGTGCGTGATGTAACGACTGTTCTTATATGTTTGTCTAGTACTTCGCTGTAGACTACAGATTTGTGTAACCTCGGGACCCAAAATTTGGCAACTCGCCTTTTTTTCTGGCCTTTTTTGAGGAACCCTTGGACCACAGCCTCCCCTCCCCAGATTCCTTGGTCCAGTTCTTTTGGATAAAGCAACCGCAATGGGGTATTTTGTACTCGAACCCTAGATATATACCAGTAGTCAAAATTAGTTATATTTTGTAAGATTCAGATTAAGAAAAAATTGATTAATAATAATAATAATAATCTTAAATTTATTTTTTAATAAAATACTTACGGCATTCCAAGCTGTTCATCAAAATAATACTTCCTAGTATCAGGAATATAATGAACCGCTGCCGGTTGTTGATTTTTCCATTCACGCCAAAATTTTTTATACGCTTCTGGTAATGCTGCACCTACACCCTTTGACCATCGGGTTGGTTTTGGGAAATAATACAATCTCTAAAAAAATATAAAATATAAATATTAAAAAATTAAAAAATAATATTTAAAAAATCTATTACAAAAAATTGTAATACTAAAAAAAAATGCTATTTAATCATTTATTTTAATTAATATAATTAACAACTTACGTTAGTAATATTTGGAGTTGCCATCTTAAAAATATCTTTAATTCTCAATATTTAATAAAATAATTATTTCGCTCTTGCAATTTTGTTCCTTCTACTTTTTTTAAGGTTATGTTTTTAAAAGAAAGCCGCAAGTTAAAAATTATATTCCACTCCCTTCACAGCTATTGGTTGATAAGAAGCGTTGCTATTGGAGTAAACGTTGATAGGTTAGATTTTAGATGGTAAGTTCTGTTAAATTCAATATGGCGCGGTGGGTTGTAGTAACGCGCATGCGCGACATTTGAAAATTAACGCGCCGCTAGTTTTAATTAAAATAAAAAAAAAAAAGAATTTTTAATTTATTAATTTAGGGAAGTAAATTTTTAATTTGTAATTAAATTAAATATTATTAATTAAAGGCTTGAAAAAAACTTTTTTTAATTTTATGTAATGTATACTAAAAGTAATGAAAATAAAGTTAGCTGACATTTCAAAATTTTTTATTGAAAAAATATCAATTAAACATTAAAAAAAAAAAAAATTGTCACATGTAAAAAACTTGAAAAACTATAAGTGCAATTTTTTATAAATATCTTTTTTGTTATAATTTAATTAATAAAAAAAATCAAAAATTTTTAGATGTCTGCTAAATTCAGTGTGTCATTAAAAGTAATACAATATTAATACTTTCCAAAGTTTTTCCTCCTATAAATAAAAAAAAATTAATTTTATATTTTTACGAGCACTATTTTACGTTAATATAATTAACTAATAATAAAAGTGATAATCATTAATATTACATTTATTATAAATTGTAATAGTCATTACGCATAGGCTATCAATATAATCTACGCTTTAACTATCTATATTTTTAATTCTCATGTAATTTAAGACCGTAAAAAAATATTTTTAGAAAGAATATTTTTAAAGTTAAGAAGTCAATGCCTTCAATAAAAATTATCTCGATTTGCTTTTTAGTATCTTAATGATTTTTTTTTTTTTTCCTGGTGAATTTATCGCTATAATTATCATTGCTCCAAGCAATTATTCGGGTCTTAGATACCTTTTAAGAATAGTCACATACTAAGTATCATGCGAGTAAGTTCTACAAAAAATATTACACAATGATTATAATTACATTTAAAATTATTTCTATCCTTTTTTCATTTTCTGCGGCTTCATCAATAAGTGTTGAACAGTGTATTCCATCTGGAGTAGAAGCAAGTTAAAGAAAATAATTTTTTTTTTTATTTTATTTTGTTACTTTATAAAAAATTTTTTCTACAGTGCAATTTGAGGGGAGACGACATAAATTGTTGTAATTCTGAAGAAAGATGTGTAATGAAAGGAGAAATTGTTAATGGAACTTCAGTATTCACTTGTTCATTACCCGGTAATTTTTTATAATTAATTTCAAGGCTATTTTCAATAAAAATATTTAAGGAGGTCCTTTCGCCGCCAATGTAAAATAAAAAAATATTAGATTATGAGTAAATTCAATTTTTTTCTAATAGTTAAGGTCCTTATTTATCTAATAGTGAGGTTTAAATTATACTTTACCGGACAAATTTTTAAAAAAATAAAATTTTTAAATGTTAGTATTTGTTCAGAGTCTTACGAGAAAGTCAGACGTTTGCAGTATTTCTCGAATTATACTATCAGTCATGGATTAGATGAAGTAAAAAAAAACTAAAAATTAGATTTTCGAAATATTCAGGTTTCTTTTTTTGCAATAAAATATATCAGTTACCGAGATATTTATTGAGAAATTAATATTTAAAAATCACAAAAAATTCTCTAGTAACCTACGTTAAAATGGAGTCAAAACATTTGGCAACGTTGCGTAGACCATTCAATAAATTCAAACTAATTTATTTATTTACACACTGTTAAAAATTTTTGTAAAATTACAAATCAGTGTATAGCAATGCTAAATAAAATACAATTCATGTAATTTTCCAACACCCTGTCAGGAAATCTACTAAGATGTATTGTAATTTTACAATCTTCTTGTATAAACCTAACACGCATTGTAATATTACAGAAATGTTGGTCAATTTTCAAGAAAAAGCTTTTTAATTTTGCAAACATTATTTGTAATTTGAAATTTATCTTTTATAAATTTTAATATTATGCTCAAACGATCATTTCGAAATCAATATATTTGAATGAGTGTATGTTAGACTTTTCTATCAATAAACAGCATAAAATAACACAATTAATGTAAATTATAAATAATAAGCCGTAATGCTCAATCACCACATAGGATTAGCTTATAAGAATAATAAGATGTTGAATGACCTATCGGTCGTACGGCGTAGGATGTTAGGTATCGGTCTGGCAAGCGCGCGGCTCGGGTTCGGTTCTTAGTTAGGGTATATATTATTTTCACTTTAAATCATCTGAGTTGAACAAATTAGGTCTACATGAGATACCAAATCTAGTCAGCGCTTCATAACAATAAAATGACAACAGATATTAAATCAAATCTTTCTTTTTTATTATTTCAATTCAAGTAAAATTCAAGGAAAGTATTGTAATTTTACAAACTTAGCTAATCTAAAAATATTTGTAAAATTACAAAACCGTTTTGTAAAATTAGTAACCTCACTGAGCTGTATATGTTTTGTAATTTTACTATACCCGATTGTAATTTTAAATAAATGTTTTGCCTATTAGCTTCCAATACATTTCTTGTAAAATTACAATAGAAATTTTTAACAGTAAACTGACTGCAAAAACTTAAACGTGGTTAAGGTTATATTGTGCAAATGAAAATGTAAACAACTGAAGTACAGCGTTGCCAAATCACGGACAGGTTACTAGCAGTTGATTTGAAAGAGTCAAATTAATTTTTGTATTTAATTATTTTTTTTTTTTTATTTTCAAAATTTCAACGATTAATGCCTCATATACTATTTATTATTTAATTTTAGGAATTTTTATGGGTTTCTTTTTTTAATTTATCGTATATTGACTACTACAATTGTTTTGACTCAACTGGAGCGAAAGGATTTCCTTAATAAGCTTTAAAATAAATTTTAATTAAAAAAATTAATACGGTCAATAAAAATAGACTAGACAAAAATCTAAAAATAAATTTAATAACTCTTTTGTAACAATCTTCAAAAGTAATTAACAAAATTAAAGCTATTAGAGATATCAATGGATTAATTATTAATTTTATTTTAATTGTAGAAGCGGTATTGTGCAATGTATAATTATTGATATTTTTCCAGCCCTCAATTGTAAAAAAAATCATTTTGAAAAAAACAGGACATGCGTACCAATGATAGGAGCTAAGTGCAAAAAATCTCTGTGTCATGGTATTGATCATTTAGTCTGCAGAAATCGAAAATGTCGATGTAAAAGAAATTATTTTCCGTCGGAGGATAATAAAGCTTGTTTTCCATATACATTAAGTAATTATTTCAAGAATTAATTTTACATAGAAAAAAAAATTAATTTTTGTCAAGAGAAAAATTTTTGAACCAAGAAAATAATTTTGTAGAATCGCATTTTCTTTAAACATTCTTGAATTAATTAATTAATTAATTATATTAATTAATTATTCTTGAATTAATTATTTTTATTTAAAATTTTCAATTAAAAAAAAGATCAAAATCTTCAAAATTAATTACTAGGTGACTGAATAATAATTACGGACAGTGTCTTAAATAGCTAAACCGGTAGAACTTTTAACACGTATTTAAACGGGCCGAGTTCGAGTCCCGGTCTGGTCTTTCGGAATTATTTTTTTTGTTTACGGATAAATTCCCACTGAGTAAGGTCCTCTTTTTCAATTCATCTTTTTTTTAATGACAAATTAAGCTATGAATTAAATTAACAATTACTTGATTCAAGTAATTTTTTTTTCTCTGTACAAAAATGAATTATATTCAAAAATTTAGTGGAAAATTTTTATTTATCCTACCAAAATTACAACTTTATTAAAAAAAAATTATTTTACAGAAGTCGGAGCTTTCTGCGCGAACAATAAATCCTGCGAAAGGATCAAATTCTCCGAATGCAAAGAATCAAAATGTCAATGTCGTGACGGTTACTCATTAATAGGAGACAGATGTCTGCCAAAATTGCGAGGCGCACCTTGTAACACAGACAACGAGTGTTTCCACGCAAACGGCCTTTGTATCTCCGGTACCTGCGATTGTTTCCACAGATTCTCAAAATTTGACGATCGCTGCCCGCCGATAAATTTCAGCAAATGCTCAGATGAAGAGCCTTGTACAATCAGGAATTCATATTGTCACCCTATTGTCAAAATGTGTCACTGTGATGAAGGTTACGTGTCTAACTTAAAAGGAATTGCGTGCGAAAAGGTAAATTTCAAATTTTACTCTTTAAAATCCCTTTTTTTATTAAGCTTTTTTTATTTTTTCAGCCGTCAAAATTCAAACCTTTGTATCATTGGGCAATGAAAAAATCTGCCTTAGTGTAGAGTAAAAATACTTGTAATTTATTTTGTAAATTTAAATTAAATAAATTAATTATCATTATTATGTTTAACATTAGAAGAATTTATTATTTCTGATGATAAAAAATAATGTCAAAAAAAAAAAAAAAAAAAACAAAAAAATTAACTTTTATTCTAATTAAAGTAATGTTAAAAATATTTTTTTTTTTTTAGATTTAGATCAAATCTAACAATACAAGATCTCCCCTATGAAAATTCACCCTTGTTAAGTCAAGAAATCAATAATTATACGGAAAACATTTGGTGAGTTTCCCAAATAAGTAAGTCCAATTTTAGGGCGACTCATTAGGCGACACATATAATAGAAAAATACAGAATGCGCGTGCGCTTTTTTTTTGAGGGTGTTCTTTAAAAGTTTAGTGTGTTATTAGTACGCGTCTGTTGATCAAAAGTTCTAGTCATATTAATAGTAGTTAAAAAAAAATTCAAAAATGGTTGCGGTTCAAGACAATAGAATTGTCGACAGTTTTTGTGGAATGAGTTTAAAAGTTTCATTAATTTTTTTTGGTGGTGTAAGAATTGTAAGTATCCAAATAATTTTTTTATTATACTGATATTCTTCCAAGAAAATTATTTTGAAGAGAACAAGTCTTATTTAAAGAAATTCTTGTCTTAATTTAATGTTTTTTGGAGTGAGAGATCTAATCACTACTATCAATAAAATTTTTACGAGGTTCGACTATATTATCTTCGATCGATACAAGTGAATTCTTTATTAAAAGACGATTTTCTTCAATAAACAATTATTTTATTTCATTTAAAGAATTATTGATTGTTAATTAAAGAACTAAATTTTTTATTTGTAATGTTATAAGTTTAAGGGAGAAAAAAACTTTGAAGTTAAAAAAATTTTTATTTCTCTATTTGCCGACAAAATATTTATTAATACAGAGAATTGTGGTAAAAATTTTAATACTTTTACGGATTAATAATGATTGTAATTACAGATGGGAGCTTTGGGACAATTAATAATACCTGTAAGAAATCATATAGAAGATTGCGATGTAAATACTGATACTACTTGTCGCGTGATTTCAAACAATGAATTTGCGGCTAATTTGTCCATGTCCGCCTTCGGAATTTTATTCGTTTTCATGGCAATTCTCGGATCAATCATGGTAAATTTTTCTTTATATTTAATTATTTAATTTTATTAATTGCACGATAATTAATAAAATTTTTCAGAACAATAATAAATTCCTAATTGCATCACTTGCTATTGACGCGATCCAACTTATAATTTTGCCGTTTGTATCATGGTACATTTTGAGTAGTTATGAAAACCATGACTATGGCGCAGTTGTGGAGCCACTTGTAAATTATGCTTATATGGGTAAGTTTCCAAATTAATTAATTAATTAATTAATTAATCGATAAAGTTTACCTTACATATTGTTTTTGTTTAAGGTATCATTATGGTGTACATGATCCTGGCGATCAGCCGGTATGAAGAAATAAAGTCTTCCAAGATGTACCCCTTTGCTGACGAATCCGATGATCAAGAGCCGGGTGCTGAAAGCGAGGACGAGAAAGATTTACCTAAGAACGGCAATGTCGAAGGAAGTTTTCGAGAAACACAAGAGGGAAAACCAGAAAAGTTTTAAATTGCAATTGTTAATTAGGGTTTTTATTGAATTTTATCAATTTGGATGAAATTGTAGTGTGGAAATTTATTTAATTTAAACTCATTGGAAATTTATTGTAAGGAATACTTGGTAAAAGTTTGGTTATTCGTAACCAAAAACATAAAATAAAAATTAAATTTTTTTGATCGCTACATTTATTACAATGTCATCATAAAGTTAAATTTTTTAGTAATTGTTTTGCAAAAATAATCAGACAATGAAACTGACTTGTCTAAATTTCGTATAACTCCAAAATTTTGTAAGTACAAACAGTTTGGGTCATTAGAATTAACAGTGATAATTATTTTCGAAAACAAAGAAAATTTCAATAGATTAAAAATTTAGTTTATTAAATCATTTAAATTTGTGGAATAAATCAAACTAAATTCAATAAAACGAGAATTTAAATTTGTTGGTTGTCAAAATTAGCGCATCATAAAAGTCAAATTTTGTTAGTAATTGTTTTGCAAAAATAATCATTCAGTTACACAGAGTTTTAAAAATTTCTTATAACTTCAACATTTTTTAAGTAAAAACAGCTTGGGTAATTAGAATTTACATTAATATTTATTTTCGATAACAAAAATAACTCAATAATCCTAAAAAAATTTAGACAGAAATACTGAAAGAAGTATTTCTTCAAGGGACAGAAAAGAAAACTAGGAAAATTCTAACTCGCAATTCTTAATTACTTTAAGGTATTGATTGAGTTATCAATATGGATGAAATTGTAATTAAATATATAAATCCACAGATTCGGTAGAATCTGGCGCCAAGTTCCGTTCAAATCCGTTGTCAACGGAGCGCCAGACTACCGACTGTGTTTACTGTAAGCAGAACGGTATTTTGAGGTTGCAAAATTTTATTTAATTCTACGGTACTTTTTTTTCCTAAATTGTATATTATAACAGTAATTCATACTTTATTTTACTGTTATTAATTAATTATATTCACATATAACAATTAATCTACTTGAAATTACTGAATTTGATCAGCACAAACTATAGCAACGCAAAAATTTCGATCCTGACTTTTTTTCGATGGGCAAAGTGATCTGCCACAGACTAAATAATTCGAGAATGCATAGTAATCCTTCATTAGATGGGAAATTACAGTTAAAAAAAGATATTTCACAGCTTGCATCTACACCCGCCAGGGTGCACTGGAATTATTTTTACATAAACTGTAGCCTCAAGGGAATAGTTTGCTATAAAAAAAATGCACCCAACGCGAGATTTAAGTTGGTATCAATTGTAAATTTTTATTATAATTAAAAAAAATACTAAAATCCGAACAAAAAACAGTTTCACTGTAAAAAAAAAATCGCGCTAAGTCCACGTTCATAAGACTATTAAGAAAAAAAAAATAGTTTTTTCTTTACAAAAAGATATAAAATAAAAAAATAAAAAAATCCAAGTAACCGATATGATTGTATATGATTTTCCGAAATTAGAAAAAATTATGTTGTAAATTTAAAAATTAAAAAAAAAAATTTTGGAACGTACTTGGTGTGCGCGGTTGCAAAATATTTTACTCTTAATTAAATTCGTAAAATCTATTTAATAGGACTTTAAAAAAATTGAAATGCACAATATAACGCACACCAAGTACGTTCCAAAATTGTTTTTTTAATTTTCAAATTTACAACAAAATTTTTTTTAATTTCCAAAAATCATAAACAATCATATCGGTTACTTGAATTTTTTAATTTTTTTATTTTATATCTTTTGGTAAAGAAAAAAACTAATTTTTTTTTCTTAATAGTCTTATGAACGTGGACTTGGCGCGATTTTTTTACAGTGAAACTGTTTTTGTTCGGATTCCTTTTATTTAAATCATATAAAATTTATTGTGAGAAAAATTTAGTTTGATTGGTAATTGGTGAAAATTAAACAAATCGATAGTTTAAATTTGTCGATTAATGAAAACAATCCATCGTAAAAATTTCGACAATGTCAAATATTAAAGTAATTTCATTTTTTTTATTCCATGTTTATAAAATTAATCACACGATATTAAACCTTTAAAATTTAATTTATCGCCATCATTTTCGAAATAGATAATAAAATTTCTTTATTAATTCATTCAAATTTCTTGAATAAATAAAATTAAATTTGATAAAATACATTTTTACAATTAAATTTATCGACTAAAATTCCATAATAAAAATATTTTTTCAATGGTAATTAATTCCTCGATCTACCGCTCTGCAAGCGAAAGCTTTAGACTACCTATCGCCACCTAGCGGCCGCCGGAGAACTACTTCCTTTTATAATTTTTTCAACTAAATATTAAACATTTTTCTGATTTTAAATTATTCTATAATTTTTTAAGACACATAATTTATCCTAAAAAAAAAAATCTAGCTTAAAATAAAAAGCTTATAAGAATAAAAAGTCATACGTAAGCACAAACATTTATATTTACATCCACCAGAAAATTCCGTGACATCTTTTATATTAGTCAGAGCGATAAAATAGAGCTCATGCGCATTGAGAGTAAACTAACTCATACTGCGCCTCTACAAAACAGAGACCAGCCGTCAGAGCATTGTAAGTGACTCATTCGAGCAGTTGTAAAGTGATTTTAATTTTAATCTAAAAAATATTCATAAAAAAAAAGTGAATCTGCTACTTACCTATATTATCATATTAAAATAAGGAAAATGTCGGGCTTAAAAGTAGCTGGCTGCTGTGGCCACGATTTAAGAACAGCGACACTAGTTATTGGAATTCTTTTTATTGTAAGTCTTATTCTAATTAAATAGATTGAATGAATTGAATAAATGTCTTGCAAAGCATATTTAAAAAGTATTTGTTCAGGTTCTCAACATCGGAAACTTGATACGAACACCGATAGAATACACCCAAGCATGTAGCAGTGGTATGACACTTGAAGACAGTGTCTTTTGTTCATGGACAAAGGATTCCTCGAACTTGGGATTGGCTATCAGCAGTTCTATTGTTGAAATTATTTTAGAGGCTCTCATGATCTATGGATCTGAAAAGGTAATTATTATTATTAAAATTGTTTATGCAATTAATCATGATTATGATTACTTATCGCAATAGTTAGAGAGTGATTTAGAGCGGCTATTTTTACTTCTTCACTTAGAGCTGAAGCTTAATTTAAAATTAAAGCGCTTTTATTTCTTCTTGCAATCAACAAGTTGATAATTAATTTTAAGACTGCAAAGAAAAAAAATTTTATTGAGTCACTAATAATTAATTATTGAAGATTTTTCTATCAAAATATTAATTATTAGGATTATAAATAATTTATTGGATATTTAACGCTATAAATAAGTAGCTGCGTAACGATTGACCCGCAAAAAAAATATTTATTATTTTTTTTTTATTTATTCCTTAAAATTATTTAAAGTATGAGTAAGTTATTTTTAGATATACATCGACACTGTTTTTTTTTAAGGGGGGGAGGGTCGCTCTCCCCCGCAGACTCATAGTGGGTGGGAGTTCATAACTCTACGGAAAAAAAAAAATATTTGAATCGAAGGAAATAATTTTGAAGTACTGATTAATTAATTTTGATTTAAGTAAATTTTTTTGGATTCAATCATTTTTTTACTAAAATAAATAAGATTAAATTATATTCTTGGTTCAAGAATTTTTCTGAATTTTTTTTTCATTGTAGCAAAAGAGAAACAAAATGACTTGTAAAATATAATAAATAAAATTTTGGTTTATTAAATAGTGAATTTTGTTAAATTACACTGTAATTTCTTAAATATTAACGTTTTTAAAGATATAAGCTCATCCCGATGTAACACTCTTCAAGAGCTTTCATTTGAGTACCCACATGCATTTTTTATATATTTTTCATATTTACATATATATAATATATATTTTAAAGATATAAGCTCATCCTGATGTTACGCTCATCAAAAGCTTTCATTTGAGTACCCACTTGCATTTTTGATATATTTTTCATATATACATGTAGATATATATATATATATATATATATATATATAATATATGAAAAATTGATGTGGGTACTTAAATGAAAGGTCTCTATGAGTGTAACCTCGGGATGAGCTGATATCTTTAAAAATGTCAATAGTTCACAAGATACAAGGTCATTTCTATTTTGGACACAAAATTTTCCTTAGTCTCTTAATAATATAGATTATCGAATAAATATTTTATTGAAATTCTTTCTGCTATTTTATTGTAAAAACATCTTATTAACCTCTCAAGTTATTTTTTTCGGGAAAAAAATAATTAATTAATTTTTTATCAAAGATTAATTCTAGAATATTTATTATTTATGCTTATCTAATGATGACTCTTGAATTTTACCATAACATCTATGACCTAATTACAAAAAAAATTTTCCAGAAAAAATACATGTTAATGCTACCATTGCTTGTAATTCATGCAATTGGACTAGGATTAACTTTCGGAGTTTTTTGGTTCATCCTCACAGCAGTCGTTGATATTTCCATGGGAGCGAGAGTAATGATACTATTGATTGGTCATTTGATATTCGGTAACTTAAACTTCATAAATATATTTTTTTTTTTTTTTTATTTACAAAAGTCCTTCTCTTAACTTAATTAACTTAAATATTTGTAATTTTTTTTTATTTAATAGCTGTCGGTGCGTACTTATGGATGATTGTCTACAACAGATGCCAAGAAATCAGAAGACAATCTTCAATGGACCCGGAAAAACATCAACTTCCTCCCTATGAACAATTTGTACAGGATTATAAAGTTGCAATTTAAATATTTTTTATTTTTTATAACCAATAAAATTAAATATCATTAATAATAAATAATTAATCATTTTAAACCAATGTTATTTTTTAAGTCAATTTTTTAAACTTTTGTACATTAAAAGTTTTTTCAATTTTAACAAGTTTTTTTTTTTTTCTTATAATTACACCATTTTCCAAAAAAAAATATTTTTTTTTTTTAATTTGTAAAATTTAATATCAAATTTTAAATAAAAAAATTATTTTACAAAAAAAAACAATTTTTTTTTTAATTTTTTAAAAATTAATTTTTTTTATTTTTTTATCAAAAGCTCTGAAATTATTTCAAATTTTATAATTATTATAAAATATTAAAAATTAATTTTTTTTATTATAATATTATTAAAAATGTGTACTGTTAAGCAAACGCATAAATAAAATGTAAACAGATCACTGCTGACAAGGTCATGACTGAGAAAAACGCTTGCGTCATCCGTCGGCTGATAATAAAAAAATCCATAAGATTGTTAGTATACACGGAAAGAACAAGACGACACTGGATACCATCTCAGATTATACTCAGTGACATCTGAGGCAAAAAAAAAAATTCAGATGGTAGCTAGTATAATCCAGATTATACTGGATAATATCTGGATTATACTAATTGTAATCTGGATTATACTCATTGTAATCTGGATTACGCTCATTGTTATCTGGATTATACTAGCTACTATCTGAAAATTTTTTTCACTCTGTATAATCTGGGATTATATCCAGTATAATCTTGTTTTTTCCGTGTAGTTTTAATAATAATATTTATAATTTTTACTATAAAAAATATTTTCTTCCTATTTTTTACAAAAAAAAAAAAAATCTGTCAATTTTTGCTTAAAAATAAATCTACAATTTTTAGAAAAAAAAAAACATTTTTTCTTTAAATTTTACAATATAAAAATATATTAAAAAAATTTCTAAATATATATTTTTAATAACTAACTTTTGGCCGATTTTTAAATATATTTTTTTTTTATAGGGGAAAAAATTTTATTTTTATTCTATAATTTATTCTATAATAATTAAATCGACTACGATAACAAGCTGCTGAATAAAATTAAATTTTATTTGTACAGTACTAATATGCGCAGTTTAAATTTTTTTATCATAAATTTTTTTCTATTAAAAAAAAAAAAAAAAAAAACTAATCAAGAAAAAAAAACTGTAATTATAAATAAAAAAGATTAATTTTAAATAAATTCTTTATAAAATTTTAAGTTTTAAATTTTTAAAAATAAATTAGCTAAAAGTAATATCGATAAAATTTTGTACAAATACAAACTATAAATTTAATCAAACAAAAATAGATAGGATTGTTTATTAATATATGCCTTAGGTCATTATTTGCATTTACAAATAAAATTATGCAACATTAGTCTCCACAATTTCTGTAGAGCTCATGCGCAGCAGAGCTCAGACGCGAGACGTACTTTGAATCGCAGATAACTAATAATATTGTCAGTCAGCCGCATACGTTCGTTGTAAGCAATTAAATCCGTGAATTTTATCTAAATTTGTGAATTTTAAAAATAAAAATTAAAAATGGCAATTAAAGTACTGGAGAAGTGTTGTTGCTTTGATTTAAAGACTGGTGTGCTAATTATTGGAATTTTTTCTATTGTAAGTGATTAATGATTAATGATTAAATAATATTGTAGTTTTTTATCCGAAAATTGGGGATTTTTGCAGGTTGTTAGTGTGGGTGGATTAATAGAGGCGCCAGTTAGTTACAGCCAAGCATGTTCGGGTGGCGCGACGCCACAGAATAACCAGGAATGTGCTGCGGCTAGTTCCAAATTGGGCGGATCGATAAGCAGTGAAGTTATTGGGATCATTTTGATGGGTCTTATGATCTATGGATCACAAAAGGTCACAGTTTTTTTTTTTTTTTTTTTTATTATAAAGCTTTTTTATTTAGAAAAAACGGAGCCAAGAAAATTATTTTGTCAGCTGTAGTAGGTGGCGCTGCTTCCCTAAAGTATCTAAAAATCTTTATTAAATATAACAAATTTATTGTATCAAGTATTTATATGCTAGAATTAAGAAAAAAATGACTTTTTTGAGCAAAAATAGAATTTTTCGAAAAATTTTAACTTTGGCCAACACAACTTTGGTCTTCCTTCAGGCACCCGGCAAATTTTCTTGAGCCAAAAATTTTGTTCTCCAGTCGAGAAATTTTTCTTGAAGAAATCCGTGAAAAATATTTTATAGTCTTCATGGTCTAGAATTCCATGCCAAATGTTCTTCCGGAGTTTATTTTAAATTGCTTCAGTTAGGAGTTAAAAATACTATCCGCTTATACATTAGAATTCAGTCGATTAAAAACAAAATTACGATTCTTTATTGTACGGCTTGTGGGAGTATTGAATGGAGTGTATTCAATTAATATGATAAACTATTTTTGGGTATGGTGTAACATTTAGAGTATAAGTTTTTATCTGCCGGCTTTGAATTTTTATTTAGATCCTTTGTAATTGAGATTTTAAATTGAATTTAGGACATTTATTAAAAAATATATTATTTTTTTATCATAAATTTTTGTAGCTTCACAAAAAAATTTTGCTTTGTTAAATAATGACTTTTGTTAAATTGCACTGTACTTCTTTAACTATTGACATTTTTAAAGATATAAGCTAATCCCGATGTTATACTCATCAAGAGCTTTCATTTGAGTACTCACTTTGCATTTTTGATATATTTTTCATATATATACATATATATATTATATATAAAATATATGAAAAATTGATGTGGGTACTCAAATGAAAGGCCTTAATGAGTGCAACATCGAGATGAGCTTATATCTTTAAAAATGTCAATAATTAAGAAATGACCTTGTATCTTATGAACTATTGACATTTTTAATGATATAAGCGCATTTTGATGTTACACTCATCGAGAGCTTTCATTTGAGTATATACCCACATGCATTTTTGATATATTTTTCATATATACTTATATATACATTATGTATAATATATATTATAAAGATATAAGCTCATCCTGATGTTAACCTCATCAAGAGCATTCATTTAAGTACCCACATGCATTTTTGATATATTTTTCATATATACATATATATAGTATATATAAATATATAAAATTTATGAAAAATTGATGTGGGTACTCAAATGAAAGGCCTTGATGAGTGTAATACCGAGATGAGCTTATATCTTTAAAAATGTCAATATTTCACAAAATACAATAATATTCTCTTAATTATATAAATTAATAAAAAAAAATTAATGAACAAAATAAAATGTGTATACCTTCATCAAGAAAATCTTCTTCCTCATCTTCAATCACCAGCTCCCTCTGCTTCGACTCGTCATTAACCAAAGCAATAATCTGATCAACATTTTTCTTGTCTTCATTCATGAATTCTTCTAGCCGCGCACTGATAGCTTCAGCCCACTGGTAAAATAGTTTCCCAGCAGCTCGTTGGAGAACATGAGTCCGTCTTAAGCCACTGGGAGCGTTTCTGGTGCTCATGGCAATTGATGGTCGGAATATCGGGAGGTTGATCTTCATCCAGGTTGGCCAGTGGCCTTTGTTACACTGGTGGACCAAGTGGGCACACTCTAGCAGCAATGATGCTCTGGCTACCACTGGAGCGTGAGGCTACAACAATTATTTCGATTTTAATTCGATGAAATATTATTTGATCTTGCCATTTGACATTTCAATAAAATCTTGCCATTTCAATAAAAATATTAATGAAAATTAACTTCTATCATTATATTTAATTTTTTGGAGCAAGAGAAAAATTTTCTCAAGACAAGAAAATTAACTTTTATCAAGAACTAAATTTTTTCGAGCTAGAGGCTGAATTTTCTCAAAACAAAAAGATTTTCTTGACTTAAATAAATTTTCTTGGATCAAGATACGTATTTTTTAAAGCAAGAAAATTAATTTTGTTGGAATAAGTGAAATTTCTTATCAATAAAAAATTTTTTTTGCTCAAAAAAATAATTAGGAAGAAAAATATTTTCTTGGCTCAAGTTAACCTTTTTTTTCTGTGCATACATTTCATCTCAATTTTATATTAATTATTAGTGTCAACAAATAAAATTACCAGGTCGAGAATTGCTGCTATTAAATGATGGTCTGGTACTGAACCAGGTTGGCAAGTTTCTAACAAAAATGAAAAACGTTTCATCCCTTCGAATACTGCTTCGCGAGGTACCAGCCGTCTTTCTTTTAAAACTACAAATTCTGACTCCCGAGATGCATCTCCGAGGTCCATTGAATTTCTTCTGCTAAAATCTATTAAAAAAAAAAAATTAATATAATTTATTATTATTAAATTAATTAATGACAAAATCAAAACTTACAATTATGTGGAGCTTCTTCAAGACTTTCTTTCTTTTTTCCTTTTCTAAAGCCGATTTTGTTTTATATAAATATAATTATTAATCAACAGGAAAGTTATGGATTAATGTTGCCAATAATTATTCTTCAAGCGATAGGAATCATCATTATATTCCTTTTCGTTTGGTACCTAACCATCGTCTTCTTTACGGTTTCCGTTGGAACCGGATTTCTATTCATGATTCTCGGCAATGCAATTGTCGGTAAGTTATGAGTTATAAAAATACAGTATTAATTTACAATCAATTAAGTATCAATAATTAACAATTTTTCTTTTTTTTTTTTTCAGGTATTACCGTCTACCTTTGGCTAGTAATTTACAGCAGGTGCCAAGAAATAAAAAATATGACATACAGTGCGGCCAACACTGCATAAAAATTTTCTACCTAACAATATAAAATTAATTTAGTAATTTTATTACTCATACTTAATTTAATACTGATCTTTATTTTTGATATTATCAACTTTTTAACAAGATTATCTTTATATACTTGGAATTGTTATCGCCACAATGATTAAGAATTTCTCAAAAAATTATTGTGATGATTACCTATAATCAATCCTTCGTCTGATCAGCCGATTTTTACACTATAAATTATAATAATAATTATTAATTTTTTTTTTTAATTAAAAAGAACTTTTTTATAAACTAAAAACATAAAAAATTTATTTTAAACAATCTCAATTTTAAAAAATAACCTGAAAAATAAAGTAATATTCTTAGCATATCATCCAGTTGATAAAAAAAGAGTCTACTATGCCGACTGTTGAATTGAACAGTACTGTTTATGATCAATAACCTCAAAACAGTTATTAAAACTGTAATTAATAAATATTACATCTATTTTTTATTGTAAAAAAATTATAAATCTAGTTATTTAACAGCAATTGATTTGCAATTATACACATGACATTAAATAATAAAATATATTAAATAACAGATTATGTATACAATATTATACTAAATATTTTATTAAGCGGAAGATATAGAGAAATTTAGATTTTGTATTTTTTACAGCTATAAATAAGTCGACGAAGATATTTATTATTATTATTGTAATGTCTTTAGCCTTGAAAGAAATTGTCTGTTTATTTAAATTCTTAACAGACTATTTTTATTACTACAATTTTTACTGTATTTACTGTAGAAAAAGTATAATGGGAAAACAATCAAACTATATTTTTAAAATGTGATTTATTATGTCAATAATTTTTGTATTTGTTTTAAATTTATATATTTTAATTAAAAAAAAAAATCTTTTGAAATCTTGTATACTATTATTAAAAATTTTAGGAATATTCTAAACATATGAAAGTATTTACTGGAATAAATATATATATTGTGAGTGTTTAAAAATAAATCATTAATTGAAAATAAATTTTGAATCTTTGTAAAAGTATATTGTGTATTTCTTGTGGAAATCCTAATATAAAGTAGAGATGAAATGTATGTGGCATCAAACTATTCGTAACGTGATTGGTTGAATATATCATAAGCATGAAAATATATGCAAACTCTATAGTCAAGGCGCGCGCTTGCGCGCGTAAATTCAAATTCTAGTATAATTAAAAAAAGAACAAACTTAGTGATTTATGAATTTTTTAACCCTTGATTCGAAAATCAATTTCTTAAGTTAAGAGAATTTAATTACTTAAGTACTTGTTTTAATTAAAACAACAATGACTTTAATTACTTAAAACAACAAAAAGATTTCTTTGTATTTAACAAATCATTTCTTAAACATCATTTATTAGTATTTAAAAAATATTTCTTAGTATTTAAAAAGTATTTCTTAAATACTAAGAAATACCCTTTATTAAAACATTGATGTGATGTTCTCATTGTTGTCGCTTTTCGTTGCTATGGTGACTACTTTAGTAACAGTTACCATGGCAATGGTTACCATAGCAACAATTACCATAGTAACAATTACCATAGCAACAATTACCATAGCAACAATTACCATAGCAACAATTACCATAGCAACTGTTATCATAAAAACTATTACCATAGCAACCGTTATCATAGCAACAATAAACATAGCAACCGTTACCATAGCAACAATGTACATAGCAACCCTTACCATAGCAACAATTATCATAGCAACGGTTATCATGGCAACAATAGACATAGCAACAATTACCATAGCAACAATTACCATAGCAACCGTTTTCATAACAAAAATAAACATAGCAACAATTACCATATAGCACCAATTACCATAGCAACCATTATCATAGCAACAATAAACATAGCAACCGTCACCATAGCAACAATTATCATAGTAACCATAACCATAGCGACAATTATCATAGCAACGGTCACTATGGCAACAATTATCATGGCAACGGTTAAATATAAATGAGTAAAATTTGTAAAAATAATAATTAATTAAATAAGCGTTATATATAAATATTTTGACAGAAGTGTTCGATGTTCTAGTTTTTTAAATGCTAAGAAATGATTTCTTAAATGCTAAGAAATCAGTGTTTTTTTAAGAAAACGTTTTTCGTTAATTTTTAGATTTCTTTTAATTCTTGAAGTAACTTTGTTCGGACCCAACATAAAATTCTTTTATTATTAAAAAAAATTTTTTTTTCAACACATTTAGTTCGCAACCCATATTTATTATTAAATTTGATTGCCATAGATCAATAATCGTATTTGCAAAAAAATATGCAACTACTCCAATCCACACCATGAGTATTGAGCTCATGCGCAACCGACGCGAATCTCGCGTTGCGAACTTGAGATAAATAATAATATCAGTCTTATCTCCGGCATAGGTTCAGCCTGATCATTGTAATTCCTAGAAAAAGTTTTTCAACTTTAATAAAAAATTAAAATGGGGATTAAGATCCTGGAAAAGTGTTGTTGCTTTGATTTAAAAACGGGTGTGCTAGTTATTGGAATTTTATCCATTGTAAGTAATTGAGGAATATTTAATACTTGCTGAAATATTTTTTATATACTAAAATTATTGATTTTCACAGGCTGTTAGTATCGGTGGATTAATAGAGGCACCTATAAGTTATAGCCAGGCGTGTTCGGGTACTCGAACGCCAGATAATGACGACAATTGTGCTACGGCTAGTTCAACACTGGGTGCATCAATAAGCAGTGAAGTTATTGGGATCATTTTGATGGGTCTTATGATCTATGGATCACAAAGGGTACATAAGGATCACAATATTTATATAATTAAGTCAAAAGCTTGAAAAACTTAATAAAATTTTCATAATAATCAACAGGAAAGTTATGGATTAATGTTGCCAATTATTATCCTTCAAGCGATAGGAATCTTCCTTATATTTCTCTTCGTATGGTACCTAACCATCATCTTCTTCATAGTTTCCTTCGGAAGTGGATTGCTTTTTATGATTCTTGGTAATGGAATTGTTGGTAAGTCATGTGTCGTAACAACATTCAATCTTTTGCGAAATTAATTAACAAATAAATAAAATTTTGTTTTATTAAATAATGAATTTTGTTAAATTGCAACGTACTTTCATAAATATTGACGTTTTTAGAGATATAAGCTCATCCCGATGTTACACTCATCAAGAGCTTCCATTTGAGTACCCACATGCATTTTTTATATATTTTTCATATATACATATATATAATATATGTAAATATATGAAAAAATGATGTGGGTACTCAAATGAAAGGTCTTGATGAGTATTATATCTATTAAAATTTTCAGGTGTCGGTTAATTTAATTTTTATTACTAAAATTAGCTGACAACTGTTAATTTTTTGAATTTTAATAATAAAAAAAACAGTTTCTAAAAATATTCACTAAGAATTTTTTTAATTTTCACATGTGGAATTTTTTTTATTAAAATCATTGCTAAAAAATTATATAAAAAATTTCGTCTTATTTTTTTAGCGTTGATAAATTAGAAAACAAAATATAAAAACCGGAAATGATTACTTAAATATAAGTATTAACATTAATATTGATTTTATAAAAAGTATGCAATACTTTTTTTTAATGATACTAAAAGTAGCCGACGTTTAACAATTTTTTATTTTTTAAACAAGTAAAACAAATTGCGAGGATAATTTTTCAAATTTTAAACTTGTGAAATTTTTTCTTTTAATTTTTTTGTATTAATTTATTCGATAAAAAAAATTATTAAAATTTTCAGGTGTCGGTTAATTTAATTTTTATTACTAAAATTAGCTGACAACTGTTAATTTTTTGAATTTTAATAATAAAAAAAACAGTTTCTAAAAATATTCACTAAGAATTTTTTTAATTTTCACATGTGGAATTTTTTTTATTAAAATCATTGCTAAAAAATTATATAAAAAATTTCGTCTTATTTTTTTAGCGTTGATAAATTAGAAAACAAAATATAAAAACCGGAAATGATTACTTAAATATAAGTATTAACATTAATATTGATTTTATAAAAAGTATGCAATACTTTTTTTTAATGATACTAAAAGTAGCCGACGTTTAACAATTTTTTATTTTTTAAACAAGTAAAACAAATTGCGAGGATAATTTTTCAAATTTTAAACTTGTGAAATTTTTTCTTTTAATTTTTTTGTATTAATTTATTCGATAAAAAAAATTATTAAAATTTTCAGGTGTCGGTTAATTTAATTTTTATTACTAAAATTAGCTGACAACTGTTAATTTTTTGAATTTTAATAATAAAAAAAACAGTTTCTAAAAATATTCACTAAGAATTTTTTTAATTTTCACATGTGGAATTTTTTTTATTAAAATCATTGCTAAAAAATTATATAAAAAATTTCGTCTTATTTTTTTAGCGTTGATAAATTAGAAAACAAAATATAAAAACCGGAAATGATTACTTAAATATAAGTATTAACATTAATATTGATTTTATAAAAAGTATGCAATACTTTTTTTTAATGATACTAAAAGTAGCCGACGTTTAACAATTTTTTATTTTTTAAACAAGTAAAACAAATTGCGAGGATAATTTTTCAAATTTTAAACTTGTGAAATTTTTTCTTTTAATTTTTTTGTATTAATTTATTCGATAAAAAAAATTATTAAAATTTTCAGGTGTCGGTTAATTTAATTTTTATTACTAAAATTAGCTGACAACTGTTAATTTTTTGAATTTTAATAATAAAAAAAACAGTTTCTAAAAATATTCACTAAGAATTTTTTTAATTTTCACATGTGGAATTTTTTTTATTAAAATCATTGCTAAAAAATTATATAAAAAATTTCGTCTTATTTTTTTAGCGTTGATAAATTAGAAAACAAAATATAAAAACCGGAAATGATTACTTAAATATAAGTATTAACATTAATATTGATTTTATAAAAAGTATGCAATACTTTTTTTTAATGATACTAAAAGTAGCCGACGTTTAACAATTTTTTATTTTTTAAACAAGTAAAACAAATTGCGAGGATAATTTTTCAAATTTTAAACTTGTGAAATTTTTTCTTTTAATTTTTTTGTGATAATTTATTCAATAAAAAAAATTATTAAATTTTTTTAATTGCTAAGAAATTATAAAAAAATTTTTGTTTGTCATTTTTTTTATATTACTTTTTTTTAGCGTTGATAAATTAGGAAGAAAAAAAATATAAGAACCGGAAATGATTACTAAAATACATACGAAAAAATTTAACCGGACAGAGGGTAGACAAATTAATTCAATTATCTCAGAAGTAATAGAGATAAAAATATCAAAATGATAAGATTAAATTAGTATTAATTTAATCATTATTATTAACGTTTATATATATTTTTTAGAGTAAGGGTGGAATATTGGCAAAAGCGTGCGAATATATCACAGAATTACGTGCAGCGAATCAAGGCCTAGGACAATGTTTACGTGACAATGAAAAATTGCGGCAAGAAGTTACGGCACTAAAACAGCATGTACAAAGATTGCAACGTGAAAATGATCAATTACGCAAAGTTAATGTTGTAGTATCTAACATTAATTAGCTTACAGTTAATTTAATAGTAATCAGTCAATGTTAACTGATAATTAATCATTTATATTACTATTTTGGATTTTTTTTTATTTAATATTATTTTTTTGTCGATTCTCTCTCAAAGTGTATCTCTCTATTTCTTTGTTACTGATTTTAATCACCTTATTATTTAAATTGTAAATATAAATATTTATCTTTAGACGCCATAATACGATTTGTTATCTAAAAGTCGATAAGTTGAATTTATCAGTTACATTTAATTCTACATGGGTGATGATTGGGGCCAAGATTTTTGCCTTTATTTAAAAATTAATCGCTTAAATATTTATTATTACGGCGAAAATATTGGTTTGAGTAAAAAAGTTTTCAACCAAAAGTTGTAGAAAATTTAATTTTATAAAAAAAATGTCTCATGAATTTTTTATACGTAATTTCAAAATTAAGATTCATAGTAAAATATTTAAATATTTTACTATGAAAATTTTAATTTTGAAATTACGGCTTATTGGTCCTAAGAAAAAATTGACTTTTTTTTTTTTTTTTTTATAAATTTTGAATTTTTTCCTCCAAAAGCTCAAAAATCAACCAATTGGAAAATATTCTTTTTCAAACTAAAAAAAAAATCAGAAAATTCCAAAGACAGCCCGTATAATATTATTGATTTTTCTTAACAACGAATAATGAATCCTAAAGTTAGCCACATTTTCAATTTTTTTATTTATTAAATAAGGAATTAAAAAATATTTTATTAAAAATTGCACTTATAGTTTTTAAAATTTTTTACAAACAAAATTTTTATTCTTTAGTAATAATTTTTTAACATCCGGATCTTAAAAGTTTTTAAATGTCAGCTAATTTAATTTTTATCAAATCAGAGTAACAAAATTAAAAATTTCTTAAAAACATTTTTTTTTTTTTTTAAAAAAACGTATGTAAAGTTAATTTATCCGTAATTTAATTGCTTAAAAATATTATAAGTAATTTTCCCGCTTTAAAGCAAGTAAATATTATCCAAATATTACACGTTGTAACAAGTGTTGAAGAATCTTTGATCATGCGCATGAAAATTAAACTAAGCGAGATCCCCAGCTTTTATTCAAATGTTCCGAGCGTCAGTTTCCAGTTTACGACGCACTTTGTCAGTTAGCTTTTGTAGAAAATAAAAATCTAATTTAATTTTAACAAAAAAATGGGAATTAAGAAACTTGGGGGCTGTTGTTGCTTTGATTTGAAGACCGGAGTGGTTATAATTGGTATTTTAGGAATTGTAAGTTTTAGATTAATATTTAGTTAGTGTATTGTTAAATTTTAATGATGTAATTGGTAATAAATTTAGATTGTAAGCGTTGGAAATCTCATAAAAGCGCCGTTAGACTACAGCAGTGCGTGCAGCGATGGAAAAACTACTGAGAATAATGAAAATTGCGCGGATGCTTCTTCAAGATTAGGAGGATCAATTGCTTCTTCTGTTATTGTTCTTATTTTAATGTTTCTTATGATTTATGGATCGCAAAAGGTATTTTTTTTTTTGAGAATTAAAATTAAAAAATAATTATTTAAAAAAACATTTTAATTAATGTATTTTTCTAGAAATTTTTATTAATAGTTCAAAAATAATTATTGTCAAAAAAAAAAAAATTTAATTAAAGAATTTTTTTAAAATTTTAATTAAATAGTTTTTTAGAAATTTTTATTAATAGTTAAAAAATAATTATTGGCAGAAAAAAAATTTGAATTGAAGAATTTTTTAGAAATTTTATAAAAAATTTAATTAAAAAATTTTTTAGAAATTTTTATTCCAACAGTGACTATAAAAAATAGACAAACTATTTTTAGATCTATAAATAGAATATATGGGTGCAGAGTTTATGATTCTTGTTTAATTTATCAATTTATTTCTATTTACTTAAATTCTATTGATTATTTTAATCAATATAAGGGTAAACTAAGGATCAGGTTTCGGTCTGGTTATCTCAATTAAAATACAAAAATTATTAACAAAAATAACACTAGATATTTATTAACAATAAATACACTAAATATTTAACTAGTTCAATAGCGGATTGGTTAAATAAAAGCGGATATGTAATACACAGCGTGGTTAGCAAAAGCGAAGCCGGTTAGCACGTGGTTGAATAAACTGCCTAAAGCGAATTATTAGCAAATTAATTAAGCAAAGAAAATTATTTAAAGGCGAAAAAGCGGTTAATTTAGAAAGCGAAATTTATGTATGCGAAAATGCGACTTGACAAGCGGGAAGATGGATGCGAAAAGATAATAATAATATATATAAATATTGATTACTAAAATTAAACAAAAAATCGCTTATTTAATGGGAAATTATTTATTTTTCTTTATAAAGTAATTTTTTGTTAATTCTATAAATATTAAAATCAAAACTGTTTTTTATTTGTTTCAACTTAAACTATTATTTATTTATACACTTTCTCAAAATTTATCAATATTAAAGGAACAAAAACATCTCTTTTTTTTAATTTTCAAATATTTTTGAACTTACTAATTATATCTGATATTCCTATATTTTTTCAACTTTAATCTAAGTTTAAACGAATTATATTTAAATAAATAATTTTTTCTTCTTATATTATTCTAATTACATATATATAAAAAATAATTGTTTGTTTTATAATATTCATATGACAAGAACGTAATTATTGATAAATGTTGAGAAGGTGTATAAATAAATAATAGTTTAAGCTGAAACAAGTTAAAGAACAGTTTGTTTTTAATATTTTATAGAATTAAAAAAAAAAAAAAGTACTTTATAAAGAAAAATCAATAATTTCTCATTAAATAAGCGATCTTTTGTTTTATTTTAGTAATCAATATTTATATATTTTAATAAATACAAACAATAAATATTTTCAAGAAGAATTATTCTTATTTAGAATAAAAAGGTTGTGTTTGAAGTTAGATTATATAACTTGTTAGAGAGCAAGTTACTTTTTGAATTTCTTTACAATTATTACATTGGCTACATTTCCGTTCGGATCACTCAGATGACCCCGAAAATGCGACTTGACAAGCGGGAAGATGGATGCGAAAGATAATAAAAAATAGTTCGTCTTCTTCCTCGTCTTGGAGAAGAAGGCTACTGCGCATGTCTAGCGAGAGCGATAGCCAATCAATAAATTCGTTCTATTGATGTCGACATCGATAGCCAAATGGTAAAATTCGATACATTGCGGGAACGATCGCTTGTCAGGTGCGTGTTGTAAATTTGAGGAGCCCACAGTGACGTATTGCTCACTGAGTGGGCCTGTTCACTGTCACTGAACAGGGTGGCTCGGAAAAAAACTCACTTTTTATCGTATTATATTTCAATTCTTCGGTAAAAATATATTTTTCTATAAAATATATTATCTTTAAAAAATTTTTTAGACCTTAAAAATCTCTGAGGTCCTTAAAAAATTTTTTAAACATTTTAAAAATCACAAAAAATTGATTTTTTTATTTTAAAAAATTCTATAAATCCCTAAAATATAGTATTAATGCTATTTTTTAATAAATAAAATTTTGAAAGATTTTTATTTATAAAAACTAAATTTTTTTTTTCATTTTTTACAGGACAACCATCGATTTATGCTGCCGATCCTTATATTAAAGGCTATTTCAATAGTACTTTCAGTAATTGCGATATGGTACTTGATTATTATCTTCTTTGTAGTATCTGTTGGAATGGGATTCTTAGTACTGGTTATCGGCAATGCAGTGATAGGTAAAATTTTTACTAAAAATAATATATTTGTAATAAATTTTTAATAGAAAATAAAAACATCATATTAAATATATTTTTTTTCAGTGCTTATTGTATACTTCTGGCTGGTTATCTACAGCCGCAGTGAAGAAATCAAGGACGCTAAATTTTCATCCGGAGGTTGCGCTTAAATATTTATTCAATAATTAAAGTATTCAATTTATCCAATTTCAGATCAAATTTTATCAGTTATATTTTATATGTAATTTTTCTTAATCAGTATTTTTATGCAGTATCAAAGTTACCCATTTTTACGCACTAAAAAATATTTTACGCACTAGTTTGTTAGTGCTTGTGCGCGCGCATCTACTACCCGTGCTAAAAACATTCACGAAATAAATACCCTTTTTTCATGAGGCTAATATGCAGCTACTGCACAAACAATTTTTTATTTATGATTTATATAATTAAAGAGTTAAGTATTTTTTTATTTGTTTTTTATACTTGAAACTGTTTTTTCCAAATATAATTTTTCCTATTTTATGTTATTGAAAAAATAATTTTAGATAAGTACTAAAGTAAATTCTACCTCAATGTAAATGTTTATGTATATTTAACAAATAAATATAAAGATATGTTTATAAAAAAATTAAGTTTTATTTATTTTATTTTGATATAATATTTTGATCTCTTAAAAATATTTTGTAACAATAATAATTATATTATTAATTTTATTATTATTATTATTATTATTATTATTTATTTGCATTTAATAGAACATTTTAACAATTCTTAAATACAATTGGCCAGGAGTTCAATGGTTAAAAATATTTAAATAATATTTTAATAATAATAATAATAATAAATTTTTTATTTCTTCTTTATTTTTATAATTATTATTATTATTAGTAATAGTAAGGTTCAAAAATGATAGAACCTAAACATTGTAAAAGCAAGGGCATTTAAGATAGTTCTCTTGAATTAAATGAAATAAAAATAAAAATTCAAATGAAAAAAAATGAAGTCTATATTTTCGATAAAAAAAAACAATAAAAATTTTTTTGGTAAATATTTAACACTTTTTTGTGTTGATTTAACATAATAAGTATTAAATTTACACATAAAAGTGTTAAATATTTAACAAAAAAATTTTTAACTGTTTTTTGATGCAAAATTTTTTACTTTGTATTAAACTTTAATAATTTTTTATTTAAATCCAAACTATGAATTTTAATATCAAAATTTTGTTATTCCTTTTTTTTTAATATAAACTTTTCATTTTTTAATTCATTAGTTTGAAAATTAATTATTGTAATAATTTGATTAAATTAAATCAATTTTTTTTTTATAGAAGTTTTAAAATTATTCCATACAATGATGAGTATAACAATTACTTTAACTAATTATACGGATATGTTATTTTATTCCGTACCTAGAGACTTATCTAAAAGATCACGCTGGTGGGTTTTACCAGCAAAACCTGGTCCCATACAAAATAAAATAAATAAAAAAAATACCTATGGTTTTGATTAACGGTTTATGTTTACGACATTCGGAAGGTTGAAAGTTGAAGTGCGCTCATGCGCACTAGAAACTAAATTTCAAACCTTCAGTTTTTAGTTTACGGAACGCTTTGTTTGGTAGCGCATCTATTTCTGCGCTTTTTTTTTGTACATAGAAATTTGTTTACGGACATCTTCAATTATCATGGCGATTAAAATACTAAAGAGTTTTTGTGGTTGTTGTGATTTAAAGTCCGGAGTACTTGTGCTCGGTGTTTTGGGTATTGTAAGTTTATTTTGGAAATTATTGTAGCTTTAGATATTAATTTTTAATCACAAAAAAAATTAATAATATTTTTTTTTTTAATTACAAAATTAAAAAAAAAATTAACAATTTTTTTTTTTTTCAATTTAAAAATTTTTTAAATAATTAATAATATTTTTTTTTAATTACAAAATTTTCAAAAAAATTAATAACATTTTCATTTAATTACTAAATTATTTTTAAAATAAGTAATTTTACGAATTAATTAATTTTTTGCAAAAAAAAAAGTGTTTTTTTTTTCTAATTAATAATTTTTAACTTCCCATTTAAAAAAACAAAAATTGAAATATTAATTTATTCAACTAATAATTAATATGTTAAATTTAAATTTTAATAATTTTCTGATTAATCAATTAAAATAATAAAAAAATATTTTTTTCCAGTTAGGCAGCCTTGGAACTTTGTTCGTAGCACCTGTAAGCTACCGTGAAGCTTGCACCAGAGTAAAAAGCCTTGGAGAAACAGAGTGTGCTGCCGCCTACACGAGAATGGGAGGATTAGTTATTTCTTCTGTGATAACTCTTGTTTTGACGTCGCTAATGATCGTCGGCTCTCAAATGGTTATTTAAAAAAATAAAAAATTAACTAACCTCGTCTTTTTATTAGACTATAAAAAAATAAGTTTAATTTTTCAGGAAAGTCCTTTAATGTTACTGCCAATTATAATCCTTAAAGGAGTTTTGATCCTTGTTACATTTGTCGCTACTTGGTACTTATCAATTTACGCTTTTGTATTTTCAATTGGAAGTTTTTCGTTTATAATTTTCGCCGGCAATATTTGTGGTGGTAATTATTAAGCTTACATTATTTATTAATTACATAAAAAATTATTTATAATTTTTATAATACGGCGTATAATTCTTTTTTTTTTTTTTCAGGAATCATGCTGTATGTTTGGTTAGTAATCTGCAGCCGCAGGGTAGAAATAAAAAATGGAAGTATTTCATCTAATTGCGCTTGAATTTTTATTAAATTCATACATTTTCAACTCAGATATAAATAAGACACATGTTTTGTATTTTTATAAATAAATTGTTTGTAAAAGAACTCTTTTTGTACATTTAATATGATGAGAAGATTTGTGAGAGTCTATAGAAACCATTTAATATTAAATAAATTTTTAATGGTTTTATAAATAGGTAAGAATAAAATTGAATATAATCCTGTGGATCACTGGCTAGAGGTAATATTAATTGATATAAAAATTATATGAGAATTAAGTCAAAAAGTAGTGAATTTTTTATACGAAAAAAAAATATTTCCTGTCAGATATAATAGAGGTACATAGACAGGCTAGTACACGGAAAGAACAAGATTATACTGGATATAATCCCAGATTATACTGAGTGAAAATTTCTTTTCAGATAGTAGCTAGTATAATCCAGATAACAATGAGCGTAATCCAGATTACAATGAGTATAATCCAGATATTATCCAGTATAATCTGGATTATACTAGCTACCATCTGAATTTTTTTTTTCGCCTCAGATGTCACTGAGTATAATCTGAGATCGTATCTAGTGTCGTCTTGTTCTTTCCGTGTAGCCATCTACCGGCTGATTTTATAAATAATATTTCTTAAATATTAAGAAATATTCTTTAACAGTAACTAATATTTTTTTCGATTAAAAAAGGCTTTGTTAGCATTAAAAATATTTATTTAATATAAAAAAGTGACTTATTTCATTTTAACAAATCTTTTTAATCATTAAAAAATATATTTTGCTCCCAACAAACTCATTAAAAGTAATTCTTCAATCAGTGTACAATTATGATAACTAAACAAGATACAGATGAATTGATGATAAATTACTACTTGACTCTACGGTTCATCATTGTCCTTGACCATTGCAAGCAAAAATCAAATTCCTTATGTCATCATTATCCAAAAATTCAACAAAGCCTTCCAAGCAGTCGAATTCAAACTTCAGTATTTCCCAATAACACTCTTGCAGCATCTCAACCAGCCTCCGTCTTCTTTTTCCTCTTAGATAACAATCATGCAGCCAACCCCCGAAGTACCTAAACTTATTGTTTACCCAAACTGAGCGATTGTATCGATCCTAACCTTGCGACTCCAAATGCCAAGCCTCCTGTCATCCATACTGACTGTGAGTTAAGAATCCACAGCATTTCATCATGATCAAGTGGTCCAGCAGCTCCTCATTGATCTTACAACCTTCAAATCTCTTCGTCACCTGGATTATCTTTTCCAACTGGGATAGGTGCAACGCTCTTCTAGACCGAAAATGATAGAAGTCTCCGCCATGATGCAGCCAACTGCCAAAGAAGACAAAGTTCTTCCATTTCAACACCAGGTCCCAAAAAGTGACGCCTTTGGAGTCAGTCAGCTTGACATCAGCACCAAAGAATATCAACGCTTTCATGCTCTCAAGCTTGCAATGCATCATGGCTGCTTCAAGGAATCTCACGTTGATCAAATCAGGAGCAAATCCATCAACATTCAAGTCGTAGCTCTTGGAGGATAAGATTTTCTTGATCAAAAGCTCACAGTCTTCCATCACAGCTTCGTACAACAGTTTAGAACCCTCTGGATCAACTGTTGCATGCTTCTCTAACAGCAGATCTAAAATCGCTTCGTTTTTCTGGTGAGCAGCGAAAAAAATCGCAAGTGAGTTGGTATCAGTCCGAGCTGAAGCATCAGCACCATTCTGGAGCAAGATTTCAACAATTGGCAGACTATTTGCAACTACTGCATGGTGCAATGGAGTGTAGCGATTGTAAGATGACACGAAATTGATGTCAGCGCCGTTGAGCAGGATCAGTTGAAGTACGGAAATATTCTCAGTCTTGATAGTGCAAATCAGCGAAGCATTCAGAAGACTGGGTTCGAATTTGAAGACTCCCTTATTGATGAAAAGCTCTATAAGCTTCAAATTCCTACGTTTTATTGCTAGGAAAAATGGCTCATCCTGGTACGGATGAATGGCAGTCATAGAAGCTCCGCAAAACAGGAGTAGCGCTGCTAGGTCACAGTTCTCTTTGTTGATTGCAATGTGGAGGGGACTGTCATGTATGAAAGATGACATGAAATTGACGTCAGCGCCATTAAGCAGCATCAGTTGAACTACGGAAAGGTTTGCAGTATCAATAGCGCGAAACAGCGAATCAATCAGCAGGTTGGGTGCGAATTTGAAGACTCCCTCATTGATGAAAAGCTCTATAAGCTCCAAATTCCCAGAATCTATTGCTAGACAAAATGGCGTATCGTCGTTTGAGTTAATGGCAGTCATAGAAGCTCCGGAGGACAGGAGTAGTGCTGCTAGGTCGTAATTCTCTTTCTTGACTGCAATGTGGAGGGGAGTGTTGCGTCCCGCATCCTTTGCGAGTAAATTTGCATTCATTTTGAGCAGAAGTTTCGTTGCGAAAGTATTGGAAAACAAGATGGCGGTGTGGAGGGGGGAGAAGACTTCCTCGAGGAACGTCGATGACCACTGGTTGATGTCCGTACCCTGCTGCACCAGATAAGAGGTGATTTCGTTGTGACCTGACTCGATTGACGCGTGCAAAGCTGAACCTGAGAATCCTTGAGCGTTTATGTCCGCCTGGTGGGTGATCAGTTCGCGGACTAGGGTTAAGTTTCCTTGGTGGCTCGCGTGGTAAAGCAGGGTGTTGCTTTTGTAGAGTGGTTCGTCGATGGATGATAATGTAGAGAGGATCGCGGGGCACTCTGTGAGAGTTTTGAGAATTGATAGGAGTGTTGAGTCACGTATTCCTAGAATTTTTATTTTTTTTTTAAATATAATAAAATTTAGTTAATTCAATTGTGCATTATTTAACCTGCTTCGATATTAGGAATAATTTATTGATATTTAAAGTTAATTAATAGAATAAAAAATTGTATGTTTTTATGAAACCACGATCTAAGTTAAACTTTTTTTCGGTTTGTAGGTATTTAATTAAAAATTTTTGGAAAATTATTCATTTTAGGGTATTAAAATTGCAGTTTTAATCTTATCGAAATGATAATACTATTAAATTAACTATAAAAATTAAACTAAGCCTCTATCCTTTGTATATAACCACGAAATGTCTCTTACCGAATGGGTATTTCTGCACCTATTCTCGGTTTTTTCCTCGTTGACCGGTTTATTTAACTCACTAGCTTTATCGTTATCGATCACGAAGTGAATAAAAATATTAAAATTAATACACACAAATTCCGCGGAAAACGTGCACGAATAAGTGAAAATAAATATAAATGCTACACGGTCAGCTGATGTGAGCTATGTCGACGCCGCCATATTGGCATTGGCTAGTAGACAGGCTAGTGTGTAGCCATCTACCGGCTGATTTTATAATTAATATTTCTTAACTATTAAGAAATATTCTTTTCTATTCAAAAAGGCTTTGTTATCATTAAAAATATTTATTTAATATAAAAAAGTGACTTATTTAATTTTAATAAATCTTTTTAATTATTAAAAAATATATTTTGCTCCCAACAAAATCATTCAAAATAATTTTAAGAAATCGATTTCTTACTCCGTATAAAATTGAGATGACATATATGGAAAGCCAATTTATTCGTTACATGGTCAAATATATCATAAGCGTGAAAATATAGACAAACTCTATATTTAGGCACGCACAATTTAAATTCTTGTGATAACTAAACATGGTACAGAAGAATTACCTTTTAACTCTACGGTTCATCATTGTCCTTGACCATTGCAAGCAAAAATCAAATTCCTAATATCATCATTATCCAAAAACTCCACCACCCCTCCCAAGCAATCAAACTCAATCTTCAAAATCTCCCAATAACACTCTTGCAGCATCTCAACCAGCCTCCGTCTTCTTTCTCCTCTTCGACCACAATCATCCAACCAATTCCTAAAGTGCCAAAACTTATCAAACCTCCCAGTTCTATCAATCCCAACCTTGCGACTCCAGATCCCAAGCCTCCTGTCATCCATTTCCAGCAGCTCCCACCCAGAAACTCCCTCCAGCTTTTCATCCTTGATCTTCTCCAATTCCCGATCACAATCCTGCACTGTATGCTCACGTTCCCTCGTCCCATAACAATCAGTCAGCTCATCATACCGACTGTGTTCAAAGAATCCACAGCACTTCATCTTAATCAGATGATCCCTTAGCTGCCAATCAATCTTCCAACCTCCAGGTCTCTCCGTCTCCGTCAACTGGATCATCTTCTCCAACCTGGAAAGGTACAACGCTTTTCTTGACCGAAAATGATAGAAGCCTCCACCGCAATTCAGCCAAGTGTTAAAGAAGTCAAAGTTCCTTTGTTCCAACGCCAAGTCCCAGAAAGTTACACCTCTGGAATCAGTCAGCTCAACATCAGCTCCAGAGAATATCAACCCTCTGACGCTGTCATGCTTGTTATGCACAATGGCTGCTTCCAAAAGCCTTATGTTGATCAAATCAGGCGCAAATCCATCAACATTCAAATTGTAGCTCTTATAAGATAAGATTTTCTTGATCAGAAGCTCGCAATTCTCCATAACAGCTTCGTACAACAATTTAGCACCATCTGGACCAACTAATGCATGCTTCTCCATCAGCAGATCCAAGATCAGCTCGTTTTTCCGATGAGCAGCGAAGAAAATCGCCAGGGAATTGGTTTCAGTGCGAGCTGAAGCATCAGCACCATTCTGGAGCAGAATTTCAACAATTGGAAGACTATTTGCAACTACTGCATGGTGCAGTGGAGTGTAGCGCTTGTAAGAAGATACAAAATTGACATCAGCGCCGTTGAGGAGCATCAGTTGAAGCACGGAGACGTTTCCAGTATCAATAGCGCGAATTAGGGAAGCATTCAGCAACCTGGGTGCGAATTTGAAGACTCCTTTGTTGATAAACAGCTCTATGAGCTCCAAATTCCCGGAATCTACTGCTAGACAAAATGGCGTCTCTTGGTTGGAGTTAATGGCGGTTATAGAAGCTCCGGAGGAAAGGAGAAGGGTAGCTAGGGCGTAGTTTTCCTCCTTGACTGCAATGTGGAGGGGAGTGTTGAGTTCTGAGTCCTTTGAGAGTAAGTTTGCGTCTATTTTGAGCAAAAGGTTCGTTGCGAAGGTGTTGGAAGACAAGATGGCGGTGTGGAGGGGGGAGAACCCGGACTGGAGGACGTTTGATGACTGAAGGTTGATGTCAGCGCCCTTCTGGAGGAGGTAAGAGGTGATTGAGTCGTGACCTTGGAGGATTGACTCGTGCAAAGCTGGGCCTGAGAATCCTTGGGCGTTTATGTCCGCTTGGTGGGTGAGCAGGTCAAGGATTAGGGGCAAGTTTCCTTGGTGAGCCGCGTGGTAAAGAAGAGGGTCGCCGTCGGGGAGGGGGGCGTCGATTGATGGTAATGTAGAGAGTAAAGTTGACAGTGATAAGGTAGACATTCCTATGGAATTTTTATTTTGTTTGAAAAATATTATTTAACCCTCGGAATATATATTGGGGTCATTTTGAGCCCGTAACTTTTTTAAATCTTAAAATATTTCTTGAAAATAAGTTCATTTAAAATTAATTTTTTTTCAACATTAAAAACTATTTTATTCAGAATAATAATGATTGTATTCAAAAGAGCATTTTTTTTTCTACCAAAAATTTAATAACCTGAATTCCGATAAAATGCTCCGAGAGTTAATTTTGTAAATTAAATTTTACATGTTAGAAATGATTTATTTAAATTTAGTATTAAGATAAATATTTTCTGCAGAGACAAAAATAATAAAAAGCACTTTTATTAACAGGCATAATTTAAAAAAAAAAAAAATTATTTCACCATATTCTGAAATATAGTTTTTATTAAGATAGCTTATTGTAATATTAACGATCTTATAAATTTGATTTATTTATTGTAGTACTTACTGTTGAATTATTAAAATTAACCCACTAATAAAATTATTTAGTAAAGTAACAAGTAACTTTGTGTAATGTTTACAAATATTTGCAAGTGACTAAATAACGGCACGTGTACTACTACTATACTATGTATATTGTATTATTGAGACAACTTGTGCAATATGCGTTATTCATTTGTTACAAGCTGCGCGCGCACACTCTATTTTATCAGTATCGGTTATTCTAATTGTAATTATAACCTAACCCTGGAAAATTAATTTTATAAAAACTTTGTTAATGTTGTTCTTATAATTTCATTGTTTTTTTGCAATTTTTATTTTAATACTCTGCAAAATAATAAAAAAAAAAAAAAAAAAAAAAAACATTTTATGCAGCTGAAGCAATACATATGTTTAAAAATTAAATGTTAAAAATTTTATCAATGATCAATTCTTCCCCGGGGCTGTTAGTTATTCTTAAACAGAGACTGGACCCATAACCTGATGTATATGTCAAACTCCCGAAAATTCAAATATATACACTGTGTTAAGTATATTTAAGTAAAAAAAATCAATAATATACTCATAATTGTTATCTATTGATTGATATTGTTATCTTCCGATAGTCTCACTAATATAATCCCTTTACCCCGATAAAATTTTGCTCGAATATTTCCAATTCTTCATTTGTTGACTAGACTTCCTAGATGTCTTTGTTGGCTGAAAATAATTTAGAAGCTCACGTGATAAACGATGTAAATTTTGAACCAATTATTATTTTACAATATAAAAATTTTAATAATAGTTAATTAAATAATGATTAGATTAGAAAAATAATACGCAGAAAATGGGCTAATATTGAAAAAACAACTAAATATGGTTGGATTACGGCGTACTTCCACAGTCATAATATAACAATACCAAATAGTGAAATTTTAAAGAATTTATCGAAGAAAATTGGGGAAGAAAACAGCGAACTCGCTTTGAAGAAAATTGAAGAGCTTTCGAGGGTTGTTAAAAATCCAATTGATATTCCTCGAGTTGCTGAAGAAGTTTTTGATCAATTTTATATTAATTATTTAATCAGGTATTCAACTTATTATTATTATTATTATTATTATTATTATTATTATTATTATTATTAATTTTTGATTTTTGGATTTTGTTTAGAGCAAATTCAAAAAAAACAAAATTAAAATGGAGAAATTATCCAGAGACGCAAGATATTTTTACAATTTCAGATAAATTGAAGAAAACAAAAATAGGTTTAGTAATTAATTAAAATAAGAGATAATAATGAAAAAAAAAAAAAAAATAAAAATAAATTAAAAGAATTTAAAAATTATAAAAAATTTTTTTAAACCTTTTTATAAAAATATTTAATCCCTAAAAAAAAATAAAAAAAAAATTCTGAAAAAACTTATTGATAAAATTTGAACAAAAATTACCTTTTTACACGCTTTTTATTAGCTTCACTTGTATGTCAGTATGTAACTCTCCGTGAGTAATTTGCGCGCCTGCGGCCTATAATTTTTCTCTACAGTCGATAAGACAGGACTTGATGTTAATTTTAATTTCTAATAATTATCTTTAGTCGATTTCTCTAATATTGACAAATTTGTCGAATACTAACGAGAATTTTAATCCTACAAAACAAATAATAGTTTAAAAAAACTAAAAAATCACGCTTTTTATAGAAAACCAAACTAACAAAATAGAAAATAAATTTTATTAAGAATAGTGTTAAAAATTTCAATAAATATAAATCAATAATAGTGTAAATAAAAAAAAATGTATTTTACTTTCAAAAAAGCGTGGGGTGCATGGTGTCAATAGTTACAAATATTTTATTGACAGATGTGAGTAGAGTGATTATCATTTTCATAATATCTTAAAAAGCACCCCACGCTTTTTTTAAAATAAAATAATTTTTTTTATTCACACTATTATTAAT